TTCATGCTTTTTTTTTCTTTTTGCACGTTGTCTATCCGACATGTAAAGTAATTCTCATTTTAAGATTAAAAATACTTTAATACATCAGAAAATTTTCAAATTTCACATGCGAAATCTTTATAATTTCCAGATAGTTTCAAACATTTCTTAAGAAAGAAAGTATATATTTTATCTGTTATTTTTACTAACAGATCTCTGTATGGGTTCGGTAGATTTGACCAATCTTGTAACCACCATAAAAATTAGGAAATAAATATAAATTACGCCTCTAGAATGACAACAGATTATAACATGAAAATTTAAGTGTTTAGACTAAATAGCTTAAAATCTCACAACATTATACATTTATATATATTTATTATTTTTATTATATTGACCTTTCAGCCCTGCTTGGCTAACAATACAGAAGTTACAATGACATGGCACACGTGCTCTCATGTTATCATATGCAATAATATAAAACTGACCTTTAGTCTTTACAAAGTGATCTGTTTTGGCTGTGTTTTAGTAAACTAGTATTTTGTAAAATACAGTCACATTTCCATTAATGTACATTATATATGTATATAAATTATTACTATTTAGAAATAAGTTCTTAAACATATCTTTCTTAAAATATTGAACAGAAAATAAAGAAGTAAAGCAAACAATTATCTCTTCTAGTTATGACCTTTCTACTCAGTTGCTGCTTGACATAGGTTGCTAAGCCTTTTAAAATTTTGCATGTGGAGGATATGAAACGAAATAATTTTATAGGTTTTATTTATATAGTTGAATAACCAAAAAATTATAAATCACTATATTGATACCATAGAATTCCATTATAATTTATCAAGCATAGTAACTAAGCTGTATTTGGGTCTGAAAAAAATATGAAATTTTGAGCATACTAAAGACACAACCCATCTTCTTGAAATTTTGGTTGAAATAACGAGATGGCTTCCTAACACATGAAAATGGCTGAGAAAGTCACTAGGGAGACATTCTGAGCTTTCAATTGGTTATTCACCTCTCATATATTGAAGTATGTGTATATAAGAGTGTTTCTAAAAACAGAAAGAGGTGAGCAGGGCCACTGTGTTTGATTCAGTACATGAGTGATATCTCAGCAAATAGAAAAGATATGAGGCTCTTATTTTATATTCTAGCTTGCCAATATCAGTAATTTGAGTTCCTAATTTTTACAAAACTACAGACTTAGTGTTTTGACATCACAAACATTTAATTTGAACCAGTGCTGCATTCAACATACCACATGACACATAAAATCAATGTTTAATTGTGTTTTTTTAATATTTACTTTTAAATTAAGAAATTGAATAAAGTATAATACTAAAATTTGAATTATAATCAACAGTTTGATACCAAATTTATTGACATAAATTCATAAAATAGTAGTTGAATATAATTATCAATGCAAGTCAACAAACACAATGACATGGCTTTTGATACATGACCCATCTGGAGAGGGTTAATGCAGAGTTCCTGGCCAAGGCACTGAACAAAGTCCTAAGTTCTAGCTTAAATAGAATGAGACCATAATAGATCTTGACCAAAAATTACCCTTTCATTACTCAAGAGGTGGAAGGAAGGATTAAAAGGAAGTTTAATGCACTTGATTTTAAGCTGCTTTAATGTGAGGAATAAAGGGCAGCTTATTCTCAAAGAGAAGACCCAACAACTTTGTCTCAGCCAACACAAAATTTTGTGCATCAACCACACATGCAGCTCAGGATCAGGGTGCAATCCCCATTGAAGGCACAAAGGTCCCCAAATAAAACCCACTCCTTGCACCTGTCATACCTTATAAACTGTTTATAATTTTCACAGTTAGTTACTTTGATAACAATAAATAAAAAATATACATAAAAAACAAGAACTGTAATACTTACATGTGGGTATTGTACATTTTTGCAGTTAAAGTCTCAATAAAAGTTTACCCTAATTTGTTAGTAATGTTAGTAGTTTACTGTATGTGTGTTTATTTCAAATATTTAATTAGATACACAAAATAATTTGTGTTAAAAATATAATTTCCTATAACTATATTATAATTTAACTAGCTTTTTAACTAAATTACAAGTGATTTAAAATATTTCCCTTACTTGGTTTAAGTGAATTTAGCAATAGCTACTTTTGATCTGTAGGCCAAATAATTCAAAAGCTCTTGTCAGAACAAGCTAACTCATCATATAATTTAGTAAGTTAAAATCTTCTCTTTCTATTGATTATAAAAGATGTATTGGCAAATGTCAAAGAGAATTACTGACATTTTTGAAACACAGCATGTGACAGGAAGGTGTAGTATATGGGTTCAATTTTTTGGTATATATATCTACTTAAAATAAGATAATTGGAAACTATTAAGTTAGATTATGACTTAGCAATATCTAAAAGTTTGTAATTTGCAAAAAAATCAGAATCTCAAACAGGGAAGGAAAGAATATCTAAATTGGGCAATTCTAAGAGAACTAATGCCACATAATATACAACAGTGAAGAGTTGAGAATTTATTCAATTAAATATATACTTCTGAAATAAAAATTTACATATTAAAATTGATTAACTAAGTTTTGATGTAAAGTTTATTGGCATACATTGATAACAGTTTAATTAAATTTTGAATGTAACTGTAAAAAGAGAGATAATACATAATTTAATGGATAGGACCTACACGTAACTTGTTGTTCTTAAATGTTATGTCAGCTATTTCTCATATTCATGTATTTGAGATATTAAATATGTAAATATCTTTTATGTCCCATTTGAATAACAATAAATCACTGTGAAGGTACAGATGATGTAAGCACAATTATCAATTAAGAAAAAGATATGGAAATGGTCTACTACATAATTAGTACTACATAACTACTTCTATATATAAACCACGTATTTAAAGCCAAAACAACTCAACAAGTTTAATATTTAGTAAGACTTCCTTTTGTAAAACTCTTGAAAATATCATGCACCACAATTCAACTTTTTCAATTATTTTTCATCATGAACAAGTGTGGATATGAAAGGAGGAAGTCTTTTGCATTATTCCTTCATGTACAAATGATACTATGGACTTACCTGAAGATCTATAAAACCATCATCTGTTCGTGAAAGTTTATGGTAACGAACAGAAGAACCAGCTGAAGCATTTTTTTTGGCCATAGCTTTCAAAATTTAGGACAATCACTTCAGGCCATAACTGTTAAAAGCCACAAAAAGAATCTGTAAATAATCAACATGCATAATTAGTTTCTAAACCATTTTACTTATTATTATAAAATATATGTTTAAATCCCTTCACTGCTCTTGTATGCTATTACATTTTTTCAAAATTCCATTTTAGCATCAAATTAATGGGATGCTTAATGTTTTAAAAAATAAGTGATGATTTGTTAAATCTCTGATACTGAAATGTAGATGTTATAATTGTTAGCTAAATGATAACACAGTATTAGTTTTTCATTAAAATTACTTACTGGTCAAAATTGTGCTTACATGTACCTGGGCTTAACCCAATAAGACTTATTCATGGTAACATTAAGCAGGACAAAATTATAAACAGATGCATTTAGATGGTTTTGTTGTTATGTGAAGGTATAGTTAACAAACAAGTTCTCTGTGAATCTAAAACCTGTAAAAAGAAAAATCTACTTCAGTATTAAATTACACTTTGTTAGTACTGTATGTCTGAACAAAGAGAACCTGGATGATCAAGCATGCCTTTTATCTCACTTTTATATCTGCCTTCTAAGTTTTAACCAAAAATTAGTCACCAAAGCAACAACATACAAAACCCACTAAATTGCTTCAATGAAATGCATACTTCTCAAATCTCCCAATTTCACTCATTATTTACACTTCCATGCTTAGCAAAGAAAATTTCATGCATTCAAATATATATATATATATTTTTTATATTATCATTTTTAGTGAAATCATGAATTTCCACACTAATTGTTAAAGCATGCAAAGACTGTTTCAAGTTCAAAGAAATACAATTCCCATCATCATATTAGCTATACTTTGTAATACCTGCTTTTTGCAAGCATTCTTTCATGCATAAGTGTACATAATTTTGTTTCATAAACATTCCAGACATTTGTACTTTTAGTTTATAATTTACTTAAAAAATCTAGAAATCTGGTCATTTCTCTGAGCATTGCAACTGACTGTGAAATATCACTCATTGTCAACACCCAAAGAGTGACAAGTCTGGAAATTAATTAACTGCATTTTTTAGAAACTACAGTTAAATATTTCTAATTATTGTGTAAACTTTCACCATTAACTTTACCAGTAGATAAATTTACTTTGGAGGTATAAATTATATTACCCTCTTGTAATTCCTAACAAATATAAGTATGTTCACAAGGAATGTGCCAAAAAATTTAGTTATTGATTTTGAAACTTTTTTTTGTTGTTGTTGCTGTTAATTTAGTTTCTGTATTCGATGACGAGGAACACACTTTGAGACTAATAATGCATGACAAAACCTTGTCGAAACGTTGTACATTTGCTGTTATGTTAAACTTATATTAAAGTTTTTCTTCATTACCCATTCAAGCCGTCTCCAAGCGTTAGTAGTTTCTGTATGTCTAGTGATGGCCTTATTTACTTACTAAGTTACTTTCTAAACCTTAACGTAACATAAGTACACAGATCTGAACCTTAAACTGATTCCTAGTTTGGACAAAAATTAAACCATATGAAAATGTATAAAATGAATGCTAAAACTGTAAAGTAATACTAGTTACTGAGTTAGTAACATTAGAATTAGTATTACTAGTAACAGTAACAGATCACATCACGATCATCCAAAAAAAGACCACTCTTAGAATTTCATAGCTTGGGAATTACCTATGCAAAACATTTCCACTCAATATCTGTTTACATTGACTATTAAAAAACAAAATGAAAATTAAATAAGACTGAAAGACACTTTGCAAATACAAAAAAAAAAACACTCTACCCTCGAGTACCAGTTCCCGTTACGTCATTCAGATAAAGCTGAACTTGAAACGAGTTCCACTTTTCCGTATTTAAAAACAACTTTGTTAAGGAAAGCAAAATGAGAAAATATCATGTAAAACTTTACTTCTTTTTCTGTATTTTTAAGTTCCAAAAGAAAAAAATCAATCATTCCCAAATACAGCTTCACATAACGTAAAATGTAAGGGCAACAATGGACCTATAGCTCCATCGAGGCTGTCTTAAGAAAACAAAAATTACACAAACAAACAAACAACTCAAAGCCAGCCTCAATAACAGAGCTCATAAGGCTAATTATAACACAACAACCATAGCAGTAGTCCGCAAGGGATACAGCTTAAATAAGCGTGGTTGAAATACTATTGTACACTTGTTATGGTTTGAACACCTTTTACAAGTAAGCGAAGCATTATCATAATTGATTATACCTGCCACAAGACATTAAGTACTTTATGCCTGTTATATTTTCTAACAATGCATTCTTAATTTAATCCCTTGAGGATTTCAAGAATTAGTAAAGAGTTTGGTAATAGTATTTCAACTACACTATACATGTATATATTGTTACGACATCGAGGTCACATGACTAGTATCACGCCACGTCATTCTCGAACATTCACGCCTTTTCATTAAATCTCGTGATCCTTCTAGGTATAGTGTAGTATTGTATATATAAGACCGGCCACGAAGCGACGGGGAGGTAATATGAGTAATTGAACTGCAGTCAGACTATGTGTAATTGAACTGAGTATTGTCGAGCACGAGCACGTGAGACGTTCTTTGAGAATTATAGCGTTTGTAATAGAGTGACTGTTGAAGTTAAGTGTATCGGTAAAGTTGTATTCGGAAAGAATAAACCAGTTTTATTTAAGAAAGGACTTGTGTCGCTAAAGATTAAAGTTTCGTTGGAACGAATTTACGGAAAATTAATTAACGAACGAACGGAGACGTAACAATGTCATCTCCACTGCCGACAATTGTTGTAACCAAGTTGGCCTGAAGAGCTCTAGAATGAGTGAATTGCATCGTTGGCAATGTATATGACAAATATAGCGTGATTGAAATACGTTTATTGTGCATTCGTCTTATTCTTGAAAATCCCTAAGGAACTAGATTATAAATGCAGTATTACAAAATATAATAGGACTAACACAGGGGTTCGCAAGGCTTAAAAAAAGAGCCATTTTTTTGTTTTTGTCTAAGACCAAAACATTTAGAGAGATGCAACATGCCTTATCCGCCAGCCTAACATTGTGTTGAACTTCCAAATGCTAATGAGGCTTTGGCACATTTCATATTTCAATTGTAATTGGTTTGACATTGTTGTGTTGGCAATATAACGGCTTTGGAATATGAATGTAAAATAGAAGCAAATGTATAGTGCATCTGTTTCCTCTTCCTTTATTTTTAAGCGTTAAGAGGAATGAAGCAAATATGATGTTATCATTCCATATGTATGCCTGAAAATTGAAAATTTACGCTTTTTATTATTTTTTGGGGGAGTATTTTCAAAGACCACGTTATTACGAAAAGAGACACATGCAGCTCACAAGTTTCGGGTTGACGTTCCCATACCTTTCTCGAACCTTCGGGAGATTACTAGATTGGGGGTAGTCTGGTATATATAAGATGGTTACAACATGACGGGACAATGTGTGCAGGTAGTGAGTAATTGAACTGCAGTCAGAGAGTATTGTTGAAGTTGAGCACGTTCGTTGTTACAGCACGACTGTTGAAATTAAGTGTATCGTAAAGTTGTATTCGGAAAGAATAAACCAGTTTTATTTAAGAAAGGACTTGTGTCGCTAAAGTTTCGTCGGAACGAATTTACGGGAAATCAATTAACAAACGCAGACGTAACAAATTGGTGTCAGAGAGTAGGACAAAAACTACAGCTTAGCAGATTTGATGGCAGCAATACAAGAACAGCAAAAGAAACAAGAAGATAAATTATAGCAGTTGTTGGAGGAAAAAGAAATGAAACAAGAAGAACGAGAGAATAAACAAGAAGAGAGATTGCAGCAGTGGTTGGAAGGAAAAGAAAAGAAACAAGAAGAGAGACAACAGCAGTTGCAAGAAAA